TCTTGATATTTTTGAAGTACCTCGGAAGATAGTGAGGTGGTCAACGCGATCCTCGCATCACCCCACAGCGCGATGGTAGCCTGATAGTTTTGATGTTCATTACAGATTGAGATGACCGTCTGGGGCCGTACAATATGCGACATTCCTAGGGCTCAGTCTCATGTTCTCCCCACAAACCCCTCAATCATGTAAGGGAATTTGTCTTTTCCCGAGGACCTGATGAGGATTCTGAGTAAAACTATTGGGAAGAACTAAAGAATTTTAATGTAGTAGCCGTAAAACTTTTTTAGAAGAGTTATGGTTTGGGAACAATCGACCATCAGCTCTTCTTCTAACTTTTGAATCGTTTTAGTCCTACCTGAATCAGTTAAATTGGCATGGTACCACCTCAAGGTAAAGCCAGATGTGCCCAAACCGAGCAGTGCTTCCACTGCCAGGGTTATGGCACGAACAACACTTGCCGTTTTAAGGAGAATGGACAACAAGAGTGTGTGTGAAGTGTGGTACAACAGGTCTCAGGAGATGACAACTGTCCAGGTCCCAGTATGCTGTTACCAATGAAAAAAAAAAAAAAAAAAAAAACAAAGATCATGGAGTTTTTTCTAAGCAATGTAAAGGTACAGATTTGAAAAAAGAATATTGTAATAAGGAGCAAGCTAAAGTTTAGTTTTGCAGAGCAAAGTGACGTGCCCGTGTGCTATTTGCCAGCGTAAGTCCCTTTGCCTCATTCAGCCCATCCCCTTCCGCATCCTTACCTCCAATACTTCTAACACCACACACTCTGCCCATACCATTAAACATCTGTCCTCAAATGCTGAAACTGATTCTGGTGAGTTTTATCCACCAGAAACGAAGTAGGAGTGAGGGTCCATTGAGGAGAACTCTCCCCTCAAATAAGATCTTTGGAGCCTAAAGTTAATGCTCCGAGACTCAATGGTGACAGCTTCAGCTGCCACCACACTACAGGGCCCTCCGCTACTAGGAGAAAGCCCTGAAGCAAAGCTCAGGTACTTCTTTGCACAGGCAGAGGATCCTGACCTGTGCAAAAGACTCCTCATAGAGTCGCGGGGGGCGTGGCGCCACAGGCAGGGCTCCAGAGGTCACCAACCCACATGGGCCTCTCTGCTAGACAGATGCTCCTGAACCAAAGGCTCAGGCCCGTCTTTGCCAAGCAAAGAATCCTGAGCCTGTCCAAAGGAAGCCTGTGAAACTAGTTCCGACAGTAAACATCATCAAAAGGTATTCCCAGATGCTGGAAAGGGACACCTAAAGGGGTGGGCGGAACCTTAACCACAGTGCTGCCAAACACCTTATGAAGTACTTGTCACCGAGAACTGATACCCTATCAGTGGAATTGTCAGGGAATTCATGGAAACTGGGAGAACTGCAACATCTGATAGCTCCTTGTAATCAGTTTGTGTATGCCTACAAGAGTATTTATGACCAGGAAAATCGTCCAATTTTCCCCTGAGAGATTCCAGTTCCGGCCATTATGGATCTTTGATATGGACCCCCTCATGAGGAGTAGCAGTGATGGTACGTCAATATTCCCTTCCGAGCCATCCACCTGCAACGACACTTTCAGGGCGAAGGCTGTGAGAATAGGCTTGACACTTACACTGTTTGCTCCATTTACCTCCCTCCACATAATCTCAACATGGATGATTTTGGAAGATTTGCTTGGGCAGTGGCCTCAGCCCTTCTACTCTTGGAGACCTTCAATGGGTCGCCTCACCCTGGGAGACACTTCGTGCAAACTTCTGAGGAAGGGCCTGGAGTCCTTGTTCTCAATAATCCAGTTTTTTACCTGAACAGCAAATGCACCCCACATTTCCAAATTCAACTGGACATTCTCCAATATTGACTTGTCATTGTCCCTGATTCCCAGGTGAATTTCACTTGGCAGTCCATGAAGACTTACATGGAAGTGACCACTTTCCATACTTTTGAAGAGGGATGGTATTCCAGCCAATGAGTGCAGAGATGGTGACTTGAACATGCAGACTGAATCTTTTTAGATCAACTGCCTATTGCAAGAATCTGTGAATGATTTCGCATCTGTTCAAGATCTGTTACTCACTTCACATCGCGGATTCACCTTGCGCAGAAGCATCAATTCCCAGAAGTAGCGGGCAGTACCGCGCCTCCACTACTATGGTGGCTGATGATGCCAACAAGCTTCAGAGCAAGAAAAGCTGCATTAAGGCAGTTGAAACGACGCCCATACGATGTAACCTTGATCAGTACAAAAGACCCTAGGCCAAGCCAGGCGATCTAATGGAGGCTAGACAGACATCGTGGAGCGTATGTCTCCTTGATTAACTCTGGTGCCCCCTTTAGCATTGTATGGGACAAGGTTCTTAGATCGCTGAAAAAGCACATCCATATCACCACTGCTCTGAAATAGATGGCATAATCCTCTCAGACAAAACAGATGTTGCAAATGAACTAGCAAAGTCCATGTGCAGAGACCCTCCTGTGGAGCTCTACACTGCCCGATGCTCCCTGTGGGACTCCTCCAGGTGATCTTCCAGTTAGAGAAGCATGGTTTCCCACCATCACTCTAAACTTCCTGTAGCAAGGAAGCTTTGTATGACGGTTGGCAATACTCCTCTTAAACAATGTCATACAGCTTCATGAGTATCCCATGCTTTCCAAGTCATATAATAAGCCTTTTCAAGGTTCAAAAGAGACGCTAACATAAGGCGTTCGTTGGGTGTGTGAAAGGAATTCTGTATAGCAAGTTTTCCATCTCACAAGTGGCATCTGTGGTCGACTCAGTTTCCAAACCATATTGATATGGGGTCAGCACGTTTTCTTTTTCTAGCAGCAATGTCAACCTGAAGTTTTACCATTTTCTCCATCAACTTGCAGATTACAACTGGGAGAGAAATTGGTCCATAAATCCCGGGTATCTTTCATGTGGATTGCACTGTTCCCTCCCTGTAGATCCTATTGAATAGATCCAACAGGAATGTGGGACGCTCTCACGGTGTAGTGATGATATCATTTGGTATGGCAATACCCGTCACTTCTGGGGCGTCTTACGGCAAGAGCTGCAAAGCAGATTACATCTCCTTGCCACAAAATGACAAAGTTGTATGGAAGTCTCTATTGAAGAACGACACTGGGGTTCGTTACTGTTCAGCCCGAAGCCACACTAGAGTGGAGAATCGGGCAGTGTAAATATGACTTCAGAGGAGATCCTGCCATGGATTTTGACAGCTATTTGCACAACATTGTTTTGTCTGAGTACTCACTTCGTGAGGATTAGGCCATCACATGTTTCAGATGCAGGTAGGTGATATGGATGTGCTCTTTCCAGCGAATCTTACACCACCTTGTCCCACATACCACCATCTAAGGGGGTCCCGAGTTAATCAAGGAGACATTGTTACTCGCCTCAACGATGTTCCGTTAGCCATTCTTTAGCACTCGCCTGGCCTGTGTTCTGGTCTTTTTGTATTGAAATCAGGTGACATCGCTTGAGGCGTCTTTCAACTGCCTTAATGCAGCTTTTTCTGCTCGACAGCTTGTTGGCATTCAGCAGACCACATTGTACCGGAGGTCGGACGGTTAATTGCCCCTGGGAAATTGATGCTTCTGCTGCAAGGTGAATCCGCGATGTGAAGTGATTAACAGCTCTTGACACAGGGGAAACTCATCACAGATCCTTGCAATACTGCAGTTGATCTAAAAAGATTCCAGTCTGCATGTTCAAGTCGCCATCTCTGCACTCCATTGGCTGGAATGCCATTCACCTCTTCCAAAAGTATTGGAAAGTGGTCACTTCTTATGACCTGCCAAAGTGAAATTCAAATGTTGAATCAGTCAGTGAACCAACGACAGGTAGAGAATATTAGAGAAATGTCCCAGTTTGAATTTGGAAATGTGTGGGTGCATCCACTGTTCAGTAAAACGGCTCTACTTGAGAACAAGGTGATGAGGGACATGGAAGGTCTCCCAAGAGTAGAAATGGATGAGGCAACTGCCCAAGTAAATCTTACAAATAATCTGTGTAGAGATATGAGAGGGAGGTAGAGGGATGCAACAGCGTAAGGGTCGTGTCAAGCCGAGTTCAATGGCCTTCACATGCAGTGTATCTGCAGGTGGCTGGCCTGGAAGGAAAGCCTGACTACCATCCACTGCTACTCCTCCATGAGGTCCATTATCAAAGACTCCATAAGTGGGCTTGAACTTGGATCCTCTCAGGAATGGACGATTTTCCCTGGTAGAATCTCTTGTAGGATACACAAACTGGATTACAAGAAGCTATCAGATGTTGCAATTTTTTACCATGTTGCATGAAATTCCCTGACAATTCCATTGGCTTAGGGTATCAGTTCTTCAGGCTGCACAAAGCTACTTCATAAGGTGTTTGGCAGCACCTGTGGTTAAGGTCCGCCACACACCTGTCACAGGCTGGTCCCTTATCAGCATTTGGGAAAACCTTTTGATGGTTTGTGTCAAGGCTGTGACCGCTATCCGCTCTAA